TACATATTATAAAATATTTAAAAGTTAAACAAAAGCAAAAAAAAAAACTTTTTAAATGTTTACATTTCATTTTCGAGAAAAAGAAGAAGAAGAAACTGATTTAATGTGCTATAGGCAAATGTATTTGTACTATCCGAAAAGCCCTCAAGAAATTCCGCCACAATTCAGTTTTTGTATAGCAAGAAGAAGAGAGAAATTAGTTGCGTATGGTAAGTTTTGATCAAAGTGTTTCAAATACATATATTAAGATTAGATTAAATTATCAAAACTCCACAATTTGTTTCTGCTAATGTTATAGACGTTTGTGTTAAACTAGTATTTGTATTATTATATAAATATAAATATATATTTGTAATAGAGCCTCAAAAAATTATGGAAAATGCTAAAGAGAACTTTTAACTCAAACTCWAACTCTAACTCTATTCTATACTCAAAACAGTTCTGAAAACGTTTGCTGTTCACAATTTCAAAGTCTATCCAAAGAAAACTTTAGTTTCTAACTCTTAACTATGTTCCCTGAAAGCGAAATACTCTATGCTTGAAGTAATATTATATCAAATATACAATTGACGGGTAACACTTCATGCCTATACCTATCATCTATTTACCTACTTTCCCAACCCGCTGCCCCTGCTCTATCAAGAAATCATGGCATTGAACAGCTAACGGCATACTAAGAATACGAATGGAATATACATATATATATCATAAATAAATTATTGTAATTGAAATGCGTATGGATCAAGTGAAATATTGAAAGAATAACGATAATGATAACGATAATGCATATTACAGAGCAGCAGAATACACACAAATACAAATACAAATACAAAACCAAAAATACAACAACCAAATGAAATACTATTGAAATATAATTGTTAACCATGAAAAAGAAGTCTTTCAATTGGGACCTTAGCTATAATTATATTAATTACCTAATTGGAAAAGAGCGAGAGAGAGAGTGAGACAAGGTGTGAGAGAGAGTAAGAGAGTGAGTGAGAAAGTTGAATGTAGCCAAAGTTCTGTTGAAACTTTGCTTCTGTGGTTTGGTGGTTGCTCTGCATTTGGTGGTGGTTCCACAACAACGAACTAAAGCATGAGCAGGAGCAGGAGCAGGAGCAACCGCTGCTGGTCGAAAGGAAATTGTGTGCGTGCCCTGAGGCTGTGAAATTTTGGACGTTGTTGCTGTGTGGAAAATGGATTTTCTGTTTTGCAATTTCCATTAGCAACTTTTTGGCCACGCGCCTCTGGCACGCACCAGCGCTGAGCCCCAAAAATATGAAACTAACTTTAGCTTGTTGTGGCTGCCGAAAAGTGGGCAGCCCCAGCTAAGCCAGCCATCCCAGGCCAAGCGGAAAGCTGGCCATGTAGACCGAGTGTCTGTCAGATGCACTCAATAGATGTTGTTGATGTGAAAGCGAGTGTATTAGTTCTAGACTTTAGTTTTATGAAAAGCTCCCGAAACTAAATACAGATATATGTATGTATGTATGCTGAAACAATCTAACATTCTAACAACTATTTTCACACTTGACATATTGCTACAATCAATCTTCTCAAATTTGTATTTGTTATTTAAAATTTTTAACATAATTCAAAGACTTTTATGTAGTTTATTAGTTTTATGTAGTTTATTATTGTTTGTCAGTATTAAAATTTTTAATTTTTGTTTATGATATCCCCTTTCAACTTTATGAGATCAATATAAACCGATTCGAAAATATCCTGAATTAGAGTCTATAAGACCCAGATACTTATTTTCAGTTATATGATAGTATTGCATACTATCCTATGTCCCATCATGGACTTTCCATTTGTGCCATCAATATCCAACCCATAGTAACTCCAGCGTAACTCCTAAACAATGGGCTCTAGATATTACCTGCTTTCCATAAATCTTCTTTCATATGAATTACCTTTTGTTTTTCAGTTTTGCTGCTAATATGCCATCATCATATATCATAGTATCTATCATAGTATCTTTTGATATACATATGTTTGTATATATCCAAAGCTCGAGAACTATACGAGCTTTATGTAGATTCGATACTGACTTTGAGTAGTTCACTTTTGTGTATTTGATATACAGCATGTGCTTAGGGCATCTTCTAGTCGTCGCTATGATATAATACAGCCCAAGGGGCAACAAAGCAATACGTAAGCAATTTACGCTTTCCGCTTGTTTCAATTCAAACAATTAAATGAGAAAAGGAAAAAAAACACACAAAAATAATAGAAGGCTGTTCATTTTGTTTGCGGCACAAAAGTCTATAATAAGAGAGGATGCCTGGTTAGGCGCACAAAACAATCCCAAGAACAGGCCGCAGGAACACAAAAGCGCAGCCAAAGACTCAACGAGAATATATATTGGAAGCGGCGTAAAACAGCAAGCGCTAAGGCCGTAAAGGATTTACGGCTCAATTGTTGCGTGCGTGCCAGAAGCGGAAGCAGTGGGAGCAGGAGTGGGAGCAGGAGTGGGAGCGGTAGCTGGTGTGGCAAGGGCGAAACACCCTCAAATATAGAAATGAAGCCCTTTGCACCCAGCAAGCGAACAAAAGGAGCGAAAGCTCATTCATTCATTCATTCACACACTCACTCACTCATTCAATCATTCAGTCAGTCGAGAATGCTGTGGGCATGCAGCTACCCCCTGCTGCCCCTGCTGCCCCTGCTGCACCCAGCTGAGCTCACAGCTTGTTCGACTGGTGTTTCATGTAGACGACAGAGTGAGGGTCGCCTCACGGATTCACGGATTTGTTTTGCCTTTTTAAATTGCTTCGCTTCATTTGCTTTGGTTTCTGCTAAATGCAGAGGGATACGCAGGTCTAAAGATCAACAGTTTCAAATGCAGCATCGATTCCCCTGCTCTACCCCTGTCCTACTCAGCCGTTTCCTGCTCCATCTCTGCCGAGCTGTGCGGGCCGTAATGAGCCGCGGTCGTGGGGGTTGACTGTTTTTGCTAAATTGGAATCGTGGCTGCGAAGCAACATTATTTTTCATTGGGATTACATTTTTATCGCCGCGTCTGACAGGCGGCAGCAGTTGGCTGTCGTCTAACCTCCGCCCCTCCGGCATCAGCATCAGCTTCAGCTTCAGCCTCATCAAAGCGGGGGAGCGAGCAGCGAGAGAAATTCAAGGCATTCGAGCGTGATTTTTGCTGCTTAATAATGAGCTTGTTTGGTTTATTGAAGCGTTTTATTGCTGCCCGTTAAAATGGGAGGCGTGTGGCCAATAAGCTCCATCAGCTTAGCAGACGGGGTGTGAATCGTCCCCACATCAGCATAATGAATATCATAATGAGCTAATGTGCCAAAAATGCAAAACGAGCTGGGAGCACAAAAGCAACATCGGAGCATGAGTCGACAAAATAACTGACAGCCAGACACAAATTGAACCTGACGGCTTCATCAATAAGCGAATCGGTAGACAGCTGCTCCAAGGGGAAACGGAAACGAAAACGTATACGAATACGAGTACGAGTACGAAAACGCGAACGGAATGGGAAGCGGAAGTACGCCCTGTCTGCCCTGCAATGGCGCATGAATATCTGATTAGCCGCCCTCTGTCTGCCTAATCAAAAATCCCAGCATCAATCGATCAATCAATCAATSGGAAATGTGTCCATGTCAGAGCGCATAATTGAATGCGATGCAAATGCAATGTATCCAATTTGTGCTACAGTGAAGACTAGTCAATAGCGAACGTGCAAAGAAGCGAGTATATTCGACTCAGGGTATAGAAAAACAATTCAAAATGGATTCACTTACTTGTTATGAAACTGGAGTAGGGCATTTTCAAGTCAGATACTTTCTTGACTAGTTGACTTTCCTATTCAACTCTTAAAGTTGAGAATTGCGAATATTTAAGATTTGACTACACAAAGACGAAGTCCTGGATGACGCAGAGTATTAGAGTTGCGTCGGAAGGTTCACAAAAAGTATCATTGTATGAGTTAGTCAAAGGAACTTGTTCTTTTGAATCAGTGAGCTCTTCAGTTTAGTCGGTCGTCGAAATGAAAAAGATCTTAACGGTATAGTTGAATTAACATGCTATCAAAATGAATGAACAATTGAAAAAGTTCTTTACATCAATTCAATGAATGAGGAGTAGTTTCTGCTTAATATGAGCTAGTTCATCGAATCAAACTGGAATCCCACATTTCACTAAACTAATCCAGCTAATGGAAATGATGAATGAAACAAACGACATTCATGAAAATGAACATTTGAACTAGTTCACTGAAGTCAATAGAACTGCCAGCTTCACAGAGCACAAGCTCCAGTTTAATTACTTAATTTGAATTTCCCTAAAGCAATTTATTATAATTTACGGCCAGGTCAGAGGCTGGGCGTCTCCGTTCCATTCCGTTCCGTTCTGTTCAGTTCAGTTGAGCTGAGTTGGCCTATTCAATCTGTCGTTAGGGGAGCTAAGCTGGAGTTAGACAGGTTGTGGTTAATGTTATTTCTCGCAAAGACAACCGTGACACAGCAAACAATAACAACAACAACAACAATTTGAGGAATAGCAACAATAGAGCGGATGCTCAAATTGGTGCCACGTGCCCCATTGTTCAGAAAGAGAGAGGAGAAAAATGGAGAGGGAGAGAACTGTGCTAGTTATAGTCAAAGTCTTGGCCAGATAATGAAAAAAGGATAATAAATTGCATTAGACGCCGGGTGCAGGGACTCTGGACGGGGGACGCGGGACGCGGGACGCTACCACGCCACGCGTGCTGTGGTTTAGGTTGGGGTTGATGGCTGTTTAGACCGTTTTGCTTTTATCATGATTGTCGTAAAACCAGTTTTATTAATAACATTATGATTGCCATAAGTAGACGGGAACAATTCAACAAACGGATGACTCTATCCCCCTCGATCAAGTCTACAATCATTTTGAATTAGTTGCTGCTCTTTTTTATACCGTGAACCCATGAAGGCGGGGTAGAGGCGTACTTCGCTCGGGTATCTGCCCGCCGGTCAATGCCGACTCGAGACACTTATTTGTTTCCTCTGAAATTTGTCATCGGATACATGAGTTGTGTCTGGGCTGCTCTATCGCACTGGACTAATAACGGAAATTGCCGTCTCGCTGGGCAACCGGAAGTGCTTACACACTCGACTTACAGTCCAACGAGTTTCACTTTGGAGGGGGCTGGCATTGAGCTCTTGAGTGTTGGGCTAAGTTTTGCTTGGGCCAATTCTATTGCGTTGCCGATAGCGGAAGCCAATAAAAGCTTGATGGGCGTTCGCAAGCCGGATTTAGCTAGCTTGTGACCTTGATAGCTAGATGGATAGATAGCGCCTGAAGAGCCGGCAGCCTACGGGCCATTGCTTGCTTAAATTCACTGCGGTATCTCATGCTGTCCGATCAGCTCCCAGCGCGAGCGACAGCCTGCCAAGCAGTGCGATAAACCCTTTTCTGCTGCCCTACTGTCAGTCTAGTTAACCGATAAGAGACTTACATTTTCTGTGGAATCCAGCTGAACACTCGAATATGACAGTGATTAACTAGTTGTCCCATTTAGTCGATATCGAAGAAGACATCTCAGATTAACGCAGTGAACAACACATTAGTCAGTAATTGTTACTTGCCGACTTATAGCTCTTGATTCACCTTTGTGCCTGCGCAATTTCTAATATCACATTTTATTTTGGGCAGTGTATTTTTAGCCCATCTAATCTAGACACCTAAGATTTATTTTCAAATATGTTGATTTTTGTTTTAAGAGTATTCCTAAATCTTTATCTAATGACGTTTCTTTTCGAATTCCCTTGCAGGATGGAAAGACTCCATACTATCCATACCCAAGAAATGGCTTTCCACCGCGGAGTCTGTAGACGAATTTGGTTTCCCTGACGTGAGTTAACACAATTTTCGAATTTCTTTGCAGTCGACTTCAAATATTTGCACAAGGCTCTACAAACTTGCTACTAGACTAATTCAAATACAAATACAGAGACAGAGACAGAGACAGAGACAGAGAGAGAGAGAGACAGAGAGAGACACGCATAGAGACAGACTAATCCTGTTTGTTATAATTACAAATGCAAATAACGAGCGCTTTTGTATGGCAACCGTCGTCCTCTGGGGCAACCGGAACCGGGCACCAGACCCAGCCAGACAACCAGTCCGCCGTACTTGTAAACAAACATCCCAAGGCCCCCAGCCGCAGCCCTCATCCCATGCCCCGTCCCACGCTCACCTGTAAAAGCACAGCAGCAACCCCCGAAAATAGAGACACATACAGAGCTAGACAGATAGTGTGTGTAAGAGAGAGAGAGAGGGAGAGTTGGACAAAGAGAGAGAGTATATCAGCAACTCGACTTCTGTCTGAGTCAAATGACAGATGGAAAAGTTTCTGCATATTATAACTATTTCCTTGACCAACAGGAATATGCAGGTTTAAATACCCTACTAAAAATACAGAAGTAATAAATTTTTAGTTGAAGATTAAATGTCTGCAACTGCGCTAGCAGCATGGATAGGCCCAGATGGCATAGATCATTGTAATGCTACTCCAAGGGTATTCGAAGTCAAAACATTCGAAAGAAAACCTATCGAAAACAGACTTAAGCTCAGACTCGATTACGAGTTTATACATATGTAAACAATTAAGATGGGTAATCCTATTCTATAATGTTCCACCATAGTAGCCAATCGATCTAGATGTTTACTTTCCCCCTCGGCTCACTTGCCTTGTGGCTCAGCGATATAGTTGAAATAAGAATGAATACGACTTACAGAAAATAAAATTTGTCGACATTAATTAAGCTGTATTAGATTAAATAATCTTTTTTCTTTTCCACTCTAAAAATGAGCAAAATAAATCCAGATCAACTGCATGCTAATTTGCAATTGATGGAATTTTTGTAGGTATTCATTATAAGTTTTATCAAATTGGAAATAATTGAAATCGATTTTTGATTTGGCGCGAATCTCAAATCGATTGTGAGATCCGCACGTTGTTTGTTCCTAAAAGAAATTGTGTGTGTTTGGCCACTAGGGATTCGGATGCTCAGTGCTCGAGAGCTCAGCTGAGCAGAGCTCTTGATTCGAGTTGTCCGTGACTAGGCAAAATGCCGTGGGGGAAACCCAATGTCAGATTCATGCCCCTTCCCCACATTTCTTGCCCTATTTCCAGCATTTTTTTTTCTCGTTTTCTTTTTTGTGATTCGAAATTTGGGTCCCTGGGGTCTACGCTTTTTGTGCTCTTGCTTTTGTATTCTAACTGCCATAATGTCCTGCATATAAATGAGCTACGACGCAAGAAACTTGAACGCAAATACAATTTGATAGAAGCTCAAAATATAAAAAGAAGGAAACGAAACGAAACGAAACYAAGGGAAGAAGTATGTGAACCCTTTTCCGCCTTCTCTACTTCTTCTTCAGACTCTACCCAAGATACCTGTCCCACCGCTGGAGCAGACCATGGCCGACTATGTGCTCGCCCTGGAGCCCATCACGACGCCCGCTCAGTTGGAGAGAACCAAGGCCATCATCAAGCAGTTCGTGTCGCCGCAGGGCCTGGGACCCCGACTGCATCAGTACCTGGTGGATAAGCGCGAGGCGGAGGATAACTGGGTGAGTTCTGATGCCTGATTGATTGACAAGTGTGGCAACTGATTGAGTGATTGACCAAGAAACCGGCTGACTCACAGATTGATAACTGATTGATTGACTAACACACAGACACAGACAGCGAGAGGATCTGACTGAGTGCCTATAGGTTTAAGCTCTAACTGATTGATCACGATTGATAACTGACTGAGGCGGCGATTGACAGTGACTGATTCAGTGTTTGGCGGACTAAGTGGAGAAGCAGAGAGTCCTTGCCTCTAGTGAATAATACTTGCACCTGTCTGTTTCTATGCCATTGCACTGTGAATGTTTATTCAAATCCAACATCGATTCGCGCACTCAATTGTACATATACATTATTAGGGGGTAACGGTATTCATATATAAGCATATATACGCACATATAGATAGGTTATACAGATTATGGAGCAAAGGGCGGCTCAGGGGCCAGGGTGCCGACTGTTGGCTCTGGAGTAGGTGGAGCGGGTACATTGGGATCATTGGGAGATGGGGGCTGTGGCACAAAGATGGTGGTGCCGGTTGGTAAATCGCCATTGGAGGTGGTGGTCTGGCCGGGAGCCGCGGTCGTATCATCCGGTGGGGCAGGCACTGTCGGTTCGGGTTTCACAGTGGTTACCTTGGTCGTGGTTGATTTGCTTGTTTTGGGAGTTGTATCTGCAGCACTTGTAGTCTTAGTTGTTGGCGCTGCTGTCGAGCCTGACGGTGTCGTAGTGGCACCAGAATCAATTTTCTCGCATTTGAGGCCCAACTTATTCTGTGAGCACTCGACGGCGGGTATGTAGTTGGCGCATGTCGAGCACTCCTGCAGCACATAGCTGAAGTAGCCCTTGGGCGCTTCGCATTTCGCCAGCACAGGTTTGCCTGTGGTGCAGGAATAATAGGTGGTGGGGTCCGCATAGTTGGGCAACTTGATGCGCGTATTTGCTTGGCACACGGGCACAATATTCTCGGTATAGACGGGTGTGGGGCAATTATCCTGTGCCTGGATGCCAATGGCCAGCAGTCCAACGACTACGATTAGAACTGAAAAGCAGATGGATCCAGCATGAGGCCTGAGGAGCGTCTCCTCCTTCTGCAATGCTCACCTTGTTTCATTGTTGCTGCTGCTGCTGCTGCTTGAGGCGTCTCGCTGCTTTCCAATCGCTGCAATCACTACTCTAACCCTGCCGGAGGCAAAGCCTTTTATGGCCCGATCGGCGAGCTGTCAAAGGCACCCGTAATCAGCTCGAGCAACACGTCTAGATTAATATTCTTGTTGCGCTTGTCATTCTGCCAAAATTAAAAGTGAATCGAAGCCGAATTGCGCTCGCACGCCCATGTAACCTGGGTAATCTATGCCATATCTGCCCTGCCCCGATAAGAGCCCAACAAATTTTCACTAATTATTGAATAATCGGGCAAGCAGAGCGTGCACACCCTTAACCATGGCACTTAGCATAGCCGGCAAACTGCAAGGAGGGCAGGGCAACAGCCTCCCTGTGTAGGGTAGCTCATATCTACAGTGTTTCCCCCGCGCGCTTATCATCGTCGCCGCTAATAATAATGGGCGTTCGTATCACTTGACTTTATTTCTGTATTTCTTCGGAAATACAAATAAGAACGGAAATTCCATAGCGAAATTCCATTTGTGGTGATCTTCCATTTAATTGAACCCAAGGATCGAATGTTCGTTCGCTAATGTTCCGATAACGATAGCGAGCCATTGCTCAACAACGCGTAATTATGTAAGCACAGCCTCGGATTGCGAGCAACTAGTGAAACGGGACTTGATTACATTTTCTGTATAATCGATGAACCTCTCACCAAACACATACGGGTTATGAAAAGACTACGCCATATAAGATAAGACCTTTGAATGGAAAACTACATTTATCTTCGATTTAGTTATTATTCTATCAAATAGTACTAGCTCACCCCAACTACAATTAATATTGGCCTATATGCTATAGCTGTTAAATATGATTTGCAATTGATATTTTCAAGTGTCCGACATTTTGATATATTGCAGTATGAAAATCTTTTTATAGTATAGTACTTATAAGCTGGAACAGGGTAGCTGCTAATCAATCAACATTCCTATATAACGATTTAGTACTAATTGGCAAATGGATGAGGTATCTGCTAGTCTAAAATAGACTACTATTAAAGGCTTTACCAGGAGCATTTCTCTCTTTTTCCTTTAAATGTAATAGAACAACAGTGCCTACCAAATAGTCTAGTTCTCTTCGGTCTTCCTATGTATCTGTTCTACAGTAGAAATGTTCATTATCAGAAAGGTATCTATGCTAGTCGAGCATGCCTCACTAGTTAAGATTTGAACACTTGAATGTTGTTATTCTTCTTTCAAATCTGAAGGAATGTCATCAGTCGTCATAAGATTACATCTTCTATCTGCACACTTGCGAGGTATCTGCGAGTCGAGCATGCCTCACTAGCAAAGATTTGCATACATTTCTTCACATCTGAAGGAATGTCATCAGTCGTCATATAGGTATATAATTAATTATATGTAATTAGTTAGATGGCATACGTGCGAAGTATCTGCCAGTCGAGCATGCATGAAGTGGTGAACATATTTACGCTGAATTCTTGGCATGTTCCATTTACAATTATTAATCAATTAAAAGTGTTAACTGTCATCGATATGTTCCGACAAGGTCAATTAGCTAATTGATTCATTCAGAGACTCACCTGTCTCTCAAGTATGTGTGTCGGTGAGTGTATGTGTGTGTGTGAGTGGATGGGCCCCATAGCCATAGAGTAGAAGAGTTATTTGTGCAGTTAGATATTTATTTAGTTGTTATTTTAGAGTTCTGAATGAAATTCCGCTTGCTGAACATTAATTTAGTAGACGACCGACTCCGGGGAGGGGGGTGGAGCGACGAGTTAGGCTGAGGGCTTGGTCGGTGGCTTCTTCTGGGCCTTGCTGGGCGGCGTTGGTTTCTTGCCAGCCTTGGGCGGAGATGGAGCAGCGGGCTTCTTGGCCGCGGCGGCCTTGGCGGGTGTTGGGGCTGAGCTAGTCTTCTTGTGGGGCTGTGGGGCGGTGGGCTTCTTGCCAGGCTTGGGGGCATCGAGCACAACGGTGGGCGGAGTTGGTGGCTCGGTGGGTGGGGTGGGAGGTGTGGGATCGAGTGGCGAAGCGTGAATGACCTGCATATGCTCTGGCTCGAACTCGTTCTCCTGGCCGAGCATGTGGACGGGTCCATTGGGAGTCATCATTGGTGGCGCCTCGTTGACGACGTGCGTGGTAATGGGCGCATCGGTGGGCAGCACATCCATGGGTGGCGCTGGCACATACAGAGCCGGCGCGGCGCACTGCTGCAGCACGAAGGTGAAGACCTCACCGGGCGGACAGTGCACGGTCAGCTGGTTGCCATAGATGCTCTGGCAGACGTAGTACTCGGAGTTGCTGAAGTAGCTCGGCCAGCGTATGCCCACCTCCTCGCGGGTGCACTGCAGCTTGTAGTCGAGGCGCGCCTGCGACAAAGCCGCCAGGCTGAGCAAAGTAAGAGCGAACACTGCAATCGAGATTGAGCGGAAGATTGGTGATTGATTGAATGATTGTGTGATTGATGACCAAGCTATTGCTCACCTTTCATCTTGTTGGGGTTGTGGGTTGTCGCTGGGTATCCGTCAGGTTTAGATGAAACTGCTGTACTGATGTTGTCTAGGTGCCTTAGGCATTTTATATAGTGCATCTTATCGCAGATCTGCGATCTCCCAAATGTGATCTCTGTTCTGCCTTATCAGTGTACCCTTCGCACTGGGCTCGATAAGAGGCGCACCCACGCACCCAAACAGCCAAGCAGCCAAGCAGCCAAGTGCCCAACCCCGATGTTGTTTTTCCCGCTAATTAAGTTTGTATCTCGTGTGTTAATAATGCGCTTTCCATGTACTCCGCTCCACTCCACGCCACGCTCCGACAGGCCTACTACTACTGGCTCAACGACATGTACATGAATGTGCGCTTGCCCTTGCCGATCAACTCGAATCCTGGCACCGTTTTTCCGCCGCGCCACTTCAGGACCGTCCACGACGTGGCCCACTTTGCGGCGCGGCTGCTGGACGGCCTGGTCGAGCACAAGGAGATGCTGGAGAGTGGACAGCTGCCGCAGGAGAGGGCTGCCTCCAGGGAGAAGAACCAGCCGCTCTGCATGGCCCAGTACTACCGCCTGCTGGGCTCCTGCCGTCGTCCGGGCGTGGAGCGCGACTCGCAGTACTTGCCGAGCCGGCAGAGGCCCATCGACAGCGACGAGGACCGCCACGTGGTGGTCATCTGTCGCAATCAGATGTACTGCGTGGTGCTGCAAGCCAGCGATCGCGGCAAGCTCACCGAGAGCGAGATCGCCTCCCAGATACTCTACGTGCTCAGCGACGCGCCCTGCCTGCCGGGCAAGCCGTTGCCCGTCGGCCTGTTGACAGCCGAGCCGCGTTCCCAGTGGGCTGTGGACCGTGAGGCCCTGCAGACGGATGAGCGCAACCAGCGGAACCTGGAGCTGATCGAAACGGCGCTGGTGGTGCTATGCTTGGACGAGCCGTTGAACACCAATTTCAATGCACGCGGCTTCAGTGGTGCCACGCCCAGCGTCCACACCGCCGGCGATCGGGATGAGACGAACATGGCACACGAAATGCTCCACGGCGGAGGCAGCGAATTCAACTCGGCCAATCGCTGGTTCGACAAGACCATGCAGGTGACCCCACCTCCTCCACCCGCCTGCCGTACCTTCAGCTAACCTTTTTCTCATTACCAACCAGCTCATCATCTGCACCGATGGCAGCTGGGGCCTCTGTTACGAGCACTCGACCTCCGAGGGCATCGCAGTCGTCCAGCTGCTGGAGAAGGTCTACAAGAAGATTGAAGAGCATCCGCAGGAAGACAACGGCGTGCCCCAGCATCACTTGCCGCCTCCCGAGCGCCTCGAGTGGCATGTGAACGACAAGCTGCAGCAACGCTTCGTCCAGGCTGCCAAGTCGGTGGACAGGGCCATTGACAATCTGGATTTCTATGTCTACCGCTACAAGGGCTACGGCAAGAACTTTGTCAAGTCCTGCCAGGTTAGCCCGGACGTCTACATACAGCTGGCCCTCCAGCTCGCCTACTTTAAGTGAGTACCGCTAGCTAGGGCAAAACAAGCCGAGTCTACGATTTCCAGTCTAGGCTAACTCAGCGCCTAGCTGAACCTATCGCTATCTGAGCTACCGTCGATCCTTCGAGATCCCTTCCGCTAATATAAGGAATATTGAATAATTCTCAACACTATTATTGCCTTTCAGACTTTACGGCCATTTGGTGGCCACCTATGAGAGTGCTTCCACCAGGCGCTTCCTGCTCGTAAGTGTTCAGCTGTCGATCGATCGATCGATCGCTCTATGAACTATCCATTTGTAACCCCCCTTGATTCGACAGGGTCGTGTGGATTGCATACGTGCTGCCAGCACGGAGGCGCTGGAGTGGGCCAAGGCGATGTGTCAGGGCGAGGGTGCCAACGTTCCACTGGAGAGCGACCGCGAGGAGGACGAGGAGGATGCCCGCAAAGTCAAATTTAGCATTTATAGCGTGAGTACTACCAGCCCGTAAGCCTTTGCCCAGTTCCGTGTGGGTAACGGGTCTGCTTTCACAGAAGGATCATCTGCGTGAGCTGTTCCGCTGCGCCGTCGCCCGGCAGACGGAGGTGATGGTAAAGAACATTCTTGGCCATGGCATCGACATACCACTGCTGGGGCTGCGCGAGGCTTCGGTGGAGGTCACTGGGGAGCTGCACGAGCTCTTCACGGATGAGTCCTACAAGATATCGCAATGCTTTCTGCTCTCCACCAGCCAGGTATCCAAGCCGTCTCACTGTCTCTCTCATTGTCTGCCACCACGCACCGAGCACCTTTTCATTCATTCTATTGTCTCTGCACCACATTTGTCTTAATGCTTAGCTTTTGCACCACCAAGAACAGCACCAGCACCAGCACCAGCACCTACAGCTGCACACACGTAAGCCTCTTAGCTGTAAGCTGCCCAGCCATCTGAGTGCCCTCTGATCTGATCTTGAGTGATCTTCGTGCTGTTTGGCTCTTCTATACGCAGGTCGCCTTCACCACGGACAGCTTCATGGGCTATGGCCCGGTCACGCCTCGGGGCTACGGCTGCTCCTATAACCCGCACCCCGATCAAATTGTCTTCTGCGTGTCCGCATTCTACGACTGCGAGGATACGAGCGCCTCTCGTTATGCCAAATCCCTGCAAGACTCGCTCGACATCATGCGCGACCTTCTGCAAAACTAAATGCAATATGAATAGTGTAAAATGGAAATTGGAACGTGGAATGAGATTTGGGGAATGGAACGTGGTATGTAGACAATGGAACGTGGAACGCCGGAATGGAATGCAGCGAAAATACAAGGAAACTTAGAAAACTAAGAAAAGGAAGCGGAACCAAAGCATAGATATCGTCACATCGGCTTCAAAACTAATTGAAAAACAATGAAAGGTGGAACGGACGAAAATGAAACACAACAAAACAAACATATCAGTAACTGTACCTTAGCAAACAATTTGTCCAAAACAAATATATCCGCAAGGAAATCCCTAACTATACAAAAGACGAGGTAGATCAATTGGTTGCGGCTATGCCGACTATTAAATACCCTTGGAGAGAGGCGATAAAAGAAAATCACATAAACTTGATCTATGTAGCTAGTTCATATTGGAACTATAAGGTATAGTGATCCGATTCAAGTATTCATACACACGTTAAACCACATCATGACTAAAGCCAACATCGACTACCTCTGCAAGGGTATCAAAAGTAACCTATATATATGTAAACAGTAGTTAACTAGCGTCCGCATGACGTCATCTGTTTATGAGCGAAAAATAACATACACAATATATACTGCTAGTGTCGTAAAACTCATTTCAATCGACACCATTCCGATTGGGTGAGGCCACTCAAACTAAAGCCAATCATCTGTTAATCCCTCTGCTTTCACCCAAGCTTCAAAATATACTTAGTAGATGACAAAGAGAAACTCTGGTCAATTAAATGTTTTAGAGCAACTTTATGCGCAATCGTTAGTGCGTTTAAATGATTCAAATAAATAAATATTTATATATATGTATATGTTGGTTAATTATGCAATTGATTGTTGTGTTAGCTTAGCTGTGTTAGAGCTTTCCCAAGCGAATTTGAATGAGCAGAACCCTTTAATGTGGCAGCCAGTGTTACGCAAATAGAAGAGTTCCAATGAAGTGGCCTATTGGTGTGGACGCCACTGTAGCGAGATACTTAAATAGGCCAATTGCCATGAACAGACCCAGCTCAAAGAGGCGCCACAGTGTCTATCAGTTCAAGTAGAGGAAATTCTATTATTGTAGATCTGGTCTATTAATACGGACGCCACTGTAGCGTTCCGCTGAAAAGTATGCAATACTTTCCATGTTATGTTTGCTATGTAGAGAAATGTTATAAAAATTATTGAAATTAGAAATTATTAAATGATATCCGATATATATATATATATATAACTGTTAACTATCTTTCTGTTGCTGTTTCATACAAAATACATATACATGAATGTAGACACTATCTAAAACTATATGCTTTACCTAATTATTGTTGCTGTTAATGTTTGTTTTACGTAAAAAAAAAAAAAAACGAGACAAAAACAAGAATAGAAAATCATTGTACGTATATAGACTTGAATTGTAACAATACATATCAATAAATTTATATAAAGTATTTACCAAATGCAAAACATATCAAATAAACGAAACGAATATTAGATATATCTATATATACACATACATACATACATACATATATGTATGTTTACCCATAACTGTTCTATGGCTAAAAACATATTTAAAAAAAAATAAATAAAAAACAAAAAATGAAACTATATACTATACTACATATATACCATGTTATACACAACTGAAAATTCTTATATATGAAAATGTTAAAGCAAGCAAATGCATATATTGATAAATACTCTAACTAGTTGCTGTGTTCATTGTTGCTATTATTATTATTATTATTATTACAATTATTAGTACAATTATTATATGTGTATCTATGTTGAAAGCAGTTAAAGAACAATCCCAATCTACTAGCTGTACTACAGGCCTAAGTTCCATTTGAGTTGATTGTTAATGCATGCAAAAAGAGATCACTAAAGAAAAATAAATGAGAATTGACTCGACTCCTTATCTGACCTACATATATATAGACACACATATATATATAGATATATACCTACGTATATCTATATGTGTAGATAGGTGGGGTATTTGTCATAGCTGRCTGGTATTTCGCTGGTTTCTAAGAAAAGTCGCATATCCAATATTGCGTTTGTGATAAGCCCAAATCCAGGAGATAAGCTTTTGATTAATTTTTTTGGGTTTATTTTGAGAAATTAATTAAAAAGCAGAGCAAAAAAATAGTTTCGTTGAAACGCATAAAAGACGCAATTGAACTTCTGCTGGCAAACATTCGGCACTCAATTGTCCATCGAAACACAATGAAGCGTAAGTCTGGTCCGGCATTGGGCTAAGAGAAAAGGATTTTAAAGGATTTCTTCAATTTGCAGTTCTCCATTTGCTGCTGAGCCTTTGCCTGGCATTCCTGCTTTGCGCTGCGCCGCTGATCCAGGCACAGACGGTGCCACCCATTCCAACAGCGGCGCCAACACCACCCAACGGCATAGGTAACGGTGGTGGCGAAGGTGAGGTTCCACCGCCACCTAATGTGCCGACCACCGTGGAAACACCCGACATCGACACCGCGTACCCGAATTACGCTGGATAAACGTAGGGTAGAGCATTTGCCAGCCGGCTACTGTAACAGTTTCTTAATAAATATATTGCGAATACTGCATTCGCAAAGGTTTTTTATTTAGATATTTCATTGGGTATATTTATTGTCCGATAATAAAACTAGGCGCAATTGGACCTTTGGTCGTCTTCACATTAATTATACGGTTACACGTACACATACACATACACATACACATACATATCGTACACAGCACACAACACATGCAAAGGTGAACAGGTGAACTGAATTAGCTCTGCGCCATGTTGCGTCGAAACGATCCTCGCATCTGCGCCTGCAGCTGCTCGCTGTTGCCCTCCTCGTCCCGGCCAGACTGCAATTGAGAGGGAGACATCGAGACTAGTTAGCTTCGCCCGTCAGATGATATATATGCATATAGACTTACCTTGCAAAAGTTCAGCTCGAGCAGCATTATGGCCGAGAGACGCTTTTTGGGATCGTGCTGCAGGCAGCAGTCGATGAACTCGTGGCCCTCCTGGGACAGCGTATCCGGCGCCTGCGGCTTCTCGCCCATGCCCACTTTGAACATGATTTGGAAGTTTGAATCGAACTGTGCCCAGGGTCGCTGCAAGATGCAAGAGATAAACAATCTATAAAATAATACTCAACGCAGTTGACATCATTCATAATACTTTGGCACTGAGAGTAGATCAAGCGAGACTAGCTGAACGAAATACTCTAGTTTTCAATCAATCGATCAGTCAATCTATTTTGCTGTCAATCTACCCCTTCTCAGTCCGTCTGCTAATGAGTCAGTCAATCCCTTGTCACTGAGTAACTCAGTCTATTAGTCTATTGATATATCAGCCAGTGATTGTATATCAATATGCTATAAAGCAGTTGCATCTGTCAATCATTTAGTCACTCTATCAATCACTCAGTCAATCAGCAACTGAGTCACAGCACAATTCTCATTGCCATTCCATTGGCCAACTCACGAAGCGGTCGAACCATTTGATCAATTGTTGTGCGATAGCTCATTCCGGTTCCGAATAGTTTTGGTGGTCAACCAGTGCCGCTTATCTGCTTATCTTCTTATCAGTAGCTCCCGAGCCCCGAGCCCCGAGCCCCGCGCACTCACCTTGCCGGAGGCCATCTCGACCACAACACAGCCCACCGACCAGATATCGGCGGCGCGACCATGGCCATCGCTGTTCGTCTTGGTAAACACCTCTGGCGCCATGTAGGCCTGGGTGCCTACGTAGCCTTGCAGCTCGCCGGGCACCGTGGTGTGGGCCTGGATCTTGACCGCGGAGCCAAAGTCGCCCAACTTGAGGCTGTTGCTGCCATCCACGAGGAAGATGTTCGCCGTCTTGATGTCCCGATGGACGATGCCGTGCTTGTGCAGCTCAGCGACGCCCGAAAGCAGCTGGGCCGTGAAGCGGCGCGAGAGCGCCTCGGGCAGACTGCCCGTCACCTCCACCAGGGATTCGAGTGTGCCCTCTGAGCAGAGCTCCATGAAGATGAGCAGCTCCTCGCGGTGCACCTCGATGCCATAGTAGCGCACAAGGTTCTTGTGCTTGATGCCCTCCAGAATCTTCAGCTCCTCGGCGACATTCTTGAGGGCGCGTGTCTCGCCCGGTTGAATGGCAATCTCCTTCATGGCCATCAGCTCCCCGGTGTTGTTATTGACCGCCGTGTAGACCTTGCCGAACCGTCCCTGGCCAATCTTGATGCCGCGATGCCAGCGGAAGTGCACGCTGCGTGCTCGGATTTGGACCTTGTCGCACGAGTTGAGCGCCTTCACCTGGCCAATGAGTCGACGCTCGCGCAGATGCTCCTCCAGATCTAGATCCAGGCGATTGACAGCATCGCGCACTCGCTCCTGCCGCGACGCCAGCGGTGTCGATGCGGAGCTGGGGCTGCTGCCCTTGGAAATGGGCGGCGTCTGCGGCACTAGGAGACGCAGCTCCCCGTTGGCCGGGCCATGTGGCGCCTCCACAAAGTCGCCGCTGTCGACGGAACTGTAGGCGGCCGAGTTCTGCTGCAGTAGCTCCTCCTTCAGGCTGAACTGGGGATGCAGCAGCTTGTTGTACTGCGGCGACTGCAGCGGCGGCGTGTTGGGATTCACTATGACGCCCGCCGACATCGGGGTGCGGGTGGGTGTCCTCGATCGGCTGGTCGCTGGCGAGGATGTCTTGCGGGTGCGCGGCGATGCCTTCTTGCGCGCCACCTTCTCCGGCTCCGAGGTGATGCCAATCACGTGCGATATGCAGCGGTCCATTTGCTGCTTCAGCTCCTCGAACTGTCGATCGTCCAGATGCTGGGTGATCTGCAGATCGCAGGCCAGCATTAGGAACTCCAAGCCCTGGGAGGCCCAGCGTGGGCGCATGCCCCGGCCCCGCTCACAGCGCTCCATGACGAACTGCATCCACATCTTGGCGAACGCAATGATGCCCAAGGCCAGGTCAACCGTGTGCCCGCTATCCTTTTGGCCCATGATGCGCTGCTCGAACAGCCGTATCACGTCCTTGTGGTACTCGAAGCCGAACTTGTAGCCCTGGTGGAGAATCTCGCGCGTGCGCGACAGCACCGCCAGCCGGTCCTGCTCGTCCAGCTCGAGCAGGTTGTTGAGGCAGCAGCGCTGCTGCACGCCCTTGATGATGCCCGTCAGCTTGTTGCGCACCTCGAGCACATCCTGCTGCAGCAGCTTGAATGCGGCCTTCACGTCCGAGCAGATGAAGTCGTGCTGCTGATTGGCCACGTCGTGCTCGTAGTGCTCCCGGTGGAAGTCTGTCGTCTCCACGTCCCGGCAGAAGGTCTTCGCAAAGAAGAGCACCTTGATGGAGCGCTCCCGCTCGACGGTCAGCAGCGCCTGTGTCTCGCGGCAAATGGTGAGCAGCTGCCACTTGAGCTCCTCGCTGTCGTTGCTGTGCGCCGTGCTGGCTATCTGTTCGTCCAGCTCCTCGGAGCGCTGCACCAGGCGCTTCGAAATGCTGCACAGCAGCTTGCTGATGATGTTGCAGAATTTCTGGGAGGCAACCGTGTGCATGCCCTTGATCATGGGACTGATCAGCTTGGTGAACATCCACTCCTTCTCCAGCACCGACTTCTGATTGGTCTCCGGCACGGCGACCAGCACCAGCTGGTCGATGTAGTCCATGTACAGCTCGAAGGTCTTGCGCACCGTCGCATCGTACTGGTTGAGGATGTTGATGTAGCTGTCCAGCTCCGTCTCATTCTCGGCCAGGGCTGTGGTGATGTGGCGCTGGTAGCGCTCGCGATGCGTCAAGGCCAGGGTCAAGCCTTCGCGCAGCTCCTTCATTAGCTGCTCCAGGCTGAGTGGATTGGGCCGCACCGGACGCGTCTCGAGGCGCATGCGCAAGAACTCGTGCATAAACTGCAACGGGATGCCGCTGAGGAACACAAATGTGGGAATGTACGAGGGCAGATTGATTGACTGCGCCTCCTCGCTCCAGTAGCCGTAGGTGCGCAGCTCGATGATCTGCTCGCGGCTAATCTGCGGATCCATGCGCGGCACGTCCTGCTCAATGATCTCCGTATCCAGCTCAAAGTCCTCCAAATCCTCGGCGCCTGGCCTCTCCAGGGCAATGTGCGCCTTGTAGAGCGCCACAGTGTGCAGCTGATGGAGGAAGGCCAACGACTTGGCCAATCCCCGGCACTTCAGCACGTTCTCGATGAACTTGCGATACAGCCCCGAGACCTGCTCGCCATCGTTGCTCGAAGTGCCCAGTGGCTCCACGCTGAAGATGTTGATGTCGTGCATGGAGCCCTTGCGCAGTTGCCCCCCTGGCAGCTCGTTGGACAGCTGGCTGACCTCCGTCGAGGTGGACCTGCAAAGCATTAAAAGGATTAGCTCGGACGCTTCAGCCTCTGCTGCTGTGCACCTACTCATTGCTGCTGGAGCTTTCGCCTGGCACGTGGGTCGAATCGTTCAGCATGAACTGCACTCGGGCACAGGACATGTTGCCGCAGCCTCGGCGTGCCGCCGGCCCAATGCCTGCCACGCTGGGCGGCTTCGACGAGTCCAATGAATTGACCGCCGAATCATCGTTGTCCACGCCTGAGGACGACGAGTTGCCACTGTCCGAGCCCATGTACGATGTCTGCACCGGCCAGGAGAACTTCTCGTCTTGCAGCCTGTACAGGAATGAAGCCATTAGGTGTGTGTCTTACATTGGAAGCAACTGCCTGACCAGGACATACCCCATACTATACATATGCTCTTACTTATGCACATATTAATCGATATCACTGAGTTATCGATATTATTAGGACTAGGCGAATGGCTGGCTGTTGCTCAGAGATTAGAGCTTGAGCCAGGATATGGTGTACACAAGCTTAGGGACTCCATAGAGACGGACAAACAAACACAGACAAAGCTAACTGCTCCTCTTCTCCCTTTCCTCACCGTGCCAGAATCCGGCCGAGAATGCTCAGCTTGAGCTTGTTCTGCTTGGTAATGTTGTACCACAGGCACATGGCCTTGATGCGACCCACAAAGCTCTGCGACTTGTATATGGGATGCAGGGCACCCATGGCCTGGGACGACGGGTAAAGAGCCTCGGCGGCCTCCAGACGCGTCAGCAAGTCCTCGACCTCACGCAGCGCCAGCTCCTGCCGCTCCATGCAGTCCTTGCAGTACAGCGACATGCAGCCCTGGCACAGTTTGCTGGGCAAGGGGGCTGTCAGGTGGAGAAGACAATCAGAGATCTGACGGATTTATGGTTAGCTAAGCTTTACTCACAGCTGGCATTGGAATTGGCGTCCGAGTGTATGCCACTGTCCAGGCTGAGCAGGCTGGGCTCACGCCTGTAGGGCGGCTGGAACTTGTAGCTGATGATCTGATGGAGCAGATCGGAGACGCCCTGACGGGCATCGTATAGATATTTGTCCTGCTGCTCGACGGTGCGATCGGCCTGCCAGGCCTGCAGCTCCAGCCAGATGAGATCCTTCAGCTCCGTTTGCCACGTGTGCTCCTCCTGCGACAGCTTGCCGTCCTGCCTATCCACGCTGCCCAGCTTGATCAGATTGGCGAACGTCTCGTGGAATTCCTTGCGCTTGCTGAGGCCTGGCGTCGGCTTGCCGTCCGTCCGCAGCGCCGGCAGCTGAGGCGTAAAGGCCAGCGGCGGCGCCGACGATCGACAGCCAATGGGCCGCGAGGACACACAGCGATAGCGATTGCAGCTCTCCACCACCTTGGAGGCAATGCGTAAGGGCGCGCCAGCTGGCTCATCCGAGTTGAGTGGCATTATCTTGTCCAGCGACTCCAGCGGATGGGCGCCCTCGTGGAAGCTGTTGCCACGCGGCGGCACAATCATTGTGGATGCCAGCGAGTTCTTCATCTCGCGCTCCGAGTCGCGCAGGATGGACTGCATCCGCTTGTCCGTCCGTTTGCCCTCCTCGTTGACGAACATCTCGTTGAGCAGGGCGCAGTCCATGGTGTTGCGGCGCAGCACTCGGGAGCGCGCCATCCTTGTCATGCCCTTCTTGGGCGTGCCCCCCACGCTGGCCGGTGCATCTGTAGAGCTGTGGGACGAGGATGAGACATAGATGAATGATGGGCTGAATGTCTACCCAGGACTCCTGGACTCCACTCACCTATCGACAATAGTACACTTCTGCTTGCGTTCCCAGTCCCGGGTCTTGATCTTCAGGCGGGTGCGCGGGGGCGTGGTGCCGAATGCTTCGTAGTGTGCCGCCAGCTCATCGTCCGGATGCAGATCCTCCTCCAGCGTGCCAATGCGTGCAGTTGACATGGGCATGGGCCGTGAAGACGTTTGCTTCACGCGGAATTCCACTCTGCAAACAGAGCGAGAGAGAGAGGGATAGAAAGAGGGATGCGGGTTTAGTTATCTAAGGCCAAGAGTTAGTTCTAATTTAATTGCAGCACTAATCGACGATAAACCAAGCAAATATCACGTTCATATATATCCCATATATTTGCACCATATTTAAGCTACGTTTGGGCAGGTAGGCGGAAGTGAAATGCTATCTTATCGCTCCGCTTTTATCTATCCAGCACTGCGCTCTGCAGCAGACAGCCAGCATGTCACGCCTATAATTATGCTTTAATTCCATTGCCGTTCTGATTTATATGCATATGTATGTCCGTCCATATCTAATGCTCGACATTTGATTGACGATTGCCGACTCAAAAATCTCTACGCGAATTTCATCATGCAAAGCGCAAAGCAGAGCAAATGAATTTCGCTCTTCGCCAGGTGTCACAGAGACATGTGAGAGGAAAAGTATACCCTATAAAGTGGAAGCTGGACCGAATCATGATATAGGCATATATTTTGAAAATTATATAATAGCTGAGACTCTTCTCCTTGAATACACGACTTTCTGGAAATTTTTCATGTTTTTTAAAGCATTTTTCAGGAAAATGAGTTTTGTTTTCCCATTTCTGGTGGGAATAGAAGAAGGTAAAATATACCTATAATTATTATATTGTGTTTACTTTAGGCCATATAACCCGAATAATATTCATTCATTATGATTTTGATCGATTTTTCTTCTATCAAATCATCGTTTAACGTGAACTGCACTGAAAACCCGGCATGATTGCTCCAGTTTCTATAGGCTTCTAGATCAAACCGAGCAAAGTGACAGATGGATATACATACATATATAGCAATGGTTCTTCAATGTATAATTTATAGTGTTGCCTCTATCTGTCGGTTACATACATCTTAATAAAACCTATATACCTGCTTAGTGATTTGCAATGATTAGAATTCATTCACACTTATTGAATTCATATTTTGCATTTCAAATTATAAAATACTTAATTCTAATGTTCATATATTTGTCTACTCTATATTTTACTTACTTTCTGCGCGGCATTTTGTTTTTAATTATATTGATTACAGTTTTAGCAGCAGCGCACAGTTGAGCAGTCACTCGAACTGATAAAACGCGAGCTCTCCGCGTCGCGACTGAGTTTTATTGTGTTTCACACAGTTTGGGGCAATTATTTGTAATATTAACGGGGATCAACATTTAAGTTGTGCAGTTAATGCATATAGGGGGAGTGCGGCGATAACTTTCCTGGATAAGAATGCGAATAGAGGCACTCACACAGAGAAAGACAGAGACAGAGAGAGAGGGGAAACAGAGTAGCACTTGTCACAACAACCGTGGAGAACTTTGAGCTTTGATGAGTGTGCGTCAGCCGAATGAGGGTCTGTCCGCCCGTCGCACGATCGTAGCAATCGATATGTTGTAGTTTGTCCAATGCGGAATTACGGTTAATGTGTATTTAGTTAATAACCGTGCAGGCGTTGAGTTTGCTGAATTTCACAAGGTAAACACAGAGTTGGAAAAGCGCAGTGCTTGATTTTTGTTGCTTTTGCTTTCGTGCTGGAAGTTGAGGCGACGACCACTTGATGCGGCGGCCATTGTCGTGCGAATTGAAATGCGGCGGCAGACTGTCAATTTATTAGCACTTTAACAACAAATTTACCCCATGTAGTCGCAGAGACAATACAGTGTATTTAGTACATACACACACTCACACTAACGCACACACACACGCGCGCGAGCACGAGCATTCTATATACCCGCATATTATGAATATAAACAGCGAGCAGCGACCGCAGCGCACAGCCAAGCGCGACAAACTAATCGCCGAGGGAACCCACAAAAACAGAAGAAGAAAAAAAGAGTCATCCAATTCCAATTGTCAGCGAGAACAACCACAGYAGAGAGAGCGGCCAAGCGAGCGAGCGACAGAGAGGGGAAGAGTAGTTGGCCACACGAACGGCGAGTGCGAGTGAGATTAGTGGGTGGCAGCACAAGTGCCAAGCAAAGAGACAGAGAGATAGAGAGAGCGGAAGAGAGCCAAGCTGAGAGAGTGCAAGTGGAACACAAGTGCAAAATGTTAGCGTCGGCAAATAGAAGATCGAACAAACGGTAGATCGAACCGAGCCACACATTTGCGAATGCCGCCATCTGGTATACCCTTTAGACATTGGCAACGCGAAGCGGAAGTGAGCAATATACGGTTTAGCAAACAGTTTGTCACATAAAGTTTATAGCATTTAAGAGTTTATTTTAATATATGAATTGAATTATTATTTGTGGTATTGCATGCAAAGATCAAGCGCGTTATTCTTAGGTATTTCCTAGTCGAGCAAGCAGAAATATAGCTAGTCTCTGTGTGTTTATTATTCTTTATTGAGTTATGAAATTTTAGTAATGCAGCGAGTTTACTCAATAACAAGCACTCGATGTTTACACATATATTCAAAAATCTGTTCTCGTTTGGAGCCAACGCAGCGTATACTTAATCTGCGTGTGATGCACATATCCCCAGTGCTTGTCTCTCTATGTAAATAAATCAGGTGAGGTGGCCAATAATATGCGGTGTAAACCACTGTGCGTTAGCCATTGATACGCATCTATGTCCACAAATAATCGATAGCATAACACGGCGTATGAGTAATCTGTCTGGGAATCTGTTTAACCTGCGACAAGGCACAAAATATTGTGTGCACACACTTGTCCACACACACAGTTATGGGTATAAGTATGTACATATGTATGCATCTGTGTAAAGTGCTCGCGGCAACAGCTGTGGGGTATATCAAGCCTCCAATACACTGTACTAATTGCAAATCACCTTATCATGTATTTATGTATATCTCTCATGTTTTATATTAAAAAAAAAGGTAACCCTATGTTTTATGAATTATTTATGGATATTACATCAACCATTTTTTCGCCATCATGCCCCCCTCAATAAACGTTATCAATCAGCCATCATAATATTTCGTTAAACAAGTTAATTAAATATGCTCGACAGACAGACTCATCGGCTTAGCAAGCTTTGATTCATGTTGGAATTCTTAGTCTCATACCAACTATAATATAATTATTATAGATCTCGCCAATTTATTGCACAACATTTTTTATACTCAAATCAACTTCTTACTTAATTTATGCCGTCTTTTCAGTGGCAAAATACCCGAGCTATTTAAAAACGTATGCATATATCAATTTATTAGCTATATTTATCTTTTAACATACTTAGTTTACCAACTACATACATATATACAAATCAATCGACGACGCCTCTCCTTTTCCCTATTCGGTATTTGTTTAGTAAAATTTATGATGAAAAATTTGTAAACATGAAATCAATTTTGAAATTAAAATTTTGGCAGTTATTATGTGTATGTGATTATGTGAGTGTAGCAATAAGTGCGTGCGTGTGAGTGTATGCAGAAATGGAAACCAAAAGCTATTTTAAGCAGCGGAAAGGATTTTATGCTCCACAGAGCAAGACTTAGGGCGGGCGTGTGTGAGAGTGAGAGGCAGCTATAAGTCAGTGGACTTCTGCCATCTCACTCTAATGCTCACATTGAAGGCCAGCAGCTTCTCCTCTATCGCTGCTCGCTCTTATCAACCCTCTTCTATGCATATGCTGCTTAAGAGAGCTTTTACAACATACATATATCTGAAGTTCAAGTGCATGAGATGCGTGGCGGCGGCCTTTTTGATCGTGAGAGACAGCCGGCCGAGGCAATGGACGGCAATGGCTACGTGAGCTGTTACGTGTTCGCTGTCAAATGAACAGTTAACAGGCACAGAAATTCCATTGAGAATTCCAGTGGAAACAGAAGACAATACGGTAACATGAGAAGAAAGCGAATTCGATTTCAAAACAGAATTGGCTTTTGCGTCGAGTTGAGCTAAACGCATAACGAAAGAGGTTAACAAAACGGAATGTGCAATCGCACGTATGTGTGTATATGAGTATACAAACACAAGCACACATACACGCACGCACACACACACATGTTTATAGGTATTAAACGCGTTTTAATATCAATACCCTACGGCACTCCCCGTGCTTGCCTTCATCAGTGCAGCAAACTGGTATACGAAGGCGAAGAAGAACAACTGGGACTGGAGGCACAAATTAATTTCACTAAATTTCGATAGGCGACTCCCCACTCAGCGCACACACACACACTCATGCACACTCACGATTTACAAAAAATTTATGTTTGACATTTATTTTGTGCTAAAAGCAAAGAAGACATGCGAAAATCTTCATAGGAAACATGGCTCACAGGCGCAAATAACAAAATAATGGTATATGACTATGTGTGTACGTATGTATGTGAGAATCAACAGTGAAAGCCGCCTAAGGCGGATGTGATGACAGTTAGTTGTCCTGCTCAGAGATCAAATAATATACATAAACAGAGGTTAGAGGTGAATGTACAGATGTACACATGTATGTATGTATGCATGTATATGTACATATATGTAAATGTTCATGTATGTAGGCGTAAATACATTTGTATATCAACACATGCTTCGAGCATGAATAACCGTAGCGGAAAAGGTAGAAATAAAGGTCTCTGATATGCATATGCGTATGTATATTTACGTTGTCTTATCAGACAAATGACTTTTCTTATCAGCAATATCTTGGAAGAACCAATTTTAAGAGAGCCGACACACACACACACTTGCATGCTTACATTATATACATACATACATATATGTATATGCATGTATCCCAGTATTGGTATTTGCATGATAATTGCCATATTTTTCGGCAAAAACAATATTTAAAAAATGAAGAAAAAAAAATAAAAATAAAAATAAACCGAATCGCGTTTTGAGTTTCAAGTCAAATTTATATTTTTATTGCCGCCTTGCACTTTTTTGCAGTAACAAAATTTGTTCGTGGTGTAATAAAAAGTTAAAAACGCAAATACAACAAAAACGTAGCTGGAAACACGTTGTTTACGTTTTGGCAGTCAAAATGGGGGAAATGTGTGAGCAAAGAGAGGGTGAGAGAGAGAGCGCGCACGCGAGCACTCACACACTGTTACATGAACATTCCACTCTCCAAGCATGTAAGCAGCACGCGTGTGTGTGTTATAAGAGAAGACAAGAAATGTTTTGGGTTTTTTTCCCGACGCCGGCAGCGACAGAGCGTAAAATCAGAGTTGTGCCCGTTTCTGCTTACCTTGCAACATCCTCATCGACATTGTGCTCGCGTCGTAATCTAACGGGCGGCACTGGAGTTGCTGGTGGATCCGCAGTCGTTGGTGTTGTTATTGTTGCTGACTCTGCAGCTAAAGTAGGAGATGGGCCTGTAGTTGAAGCGGGAGAAGGAACTGGAACTGGATCTACGGGCAAGTCCACCGCTGGCGCCGTTGGCGATATTCCCGACAGAGTTCCCAAAACCGCCTTATTTGACATTTGCGTGAGATACTCAATAGTGCGCACTCTTCGTCTATTGTGTGACATTTTCTGTTGTTATTGTTGCTGTTGTTATTATTGGTTGCGGTCTTCTTGGAATTTCTCAACAGCCGACCAACACATACACAGCCAGTGCTACTCACACACGCACGCACACACACACACACATACACTAAGTCACATATATACACATACACTCATGTATATATTAGCACACGTTCTTTTCACTTTTGTTGTTGCTCACGCTGGTGCTAATCGAATTTATTTAAATTTTGTACTTTCACAGCGCAGCAACGCACACGCGCGCACATAACGGAAGCTTTGATTCGAAATTTTAAAGTTTTTCCTTCGACTAACCGTGGCAATCAGGTGACAACGACGACGCGTCTCACCTGGGCAAAATTGCGGTCTTAACTGACGGTGTGGCCGTTTTTTGTTAGCCATAAAATCCTCATAAGAAATGCAACCGGTGACCGCATCAGCTGACCGCAAAATTTAAGAAAACAACATTAAAAGAACGCTAAATATTGACTACGTAAAGAATATATATATTAATTTCGATTGAATAACAGCTAACACGAACATATATTTAATATGGGCTGACGTGTCATTTATAAAATGCAACAATTAGTTTGTTATTGTTTTGTGTGAATATGAACGGGTTGAGAGAGCTGCCAGACTAATATAAACAAATGGTGTATTAGCTGATAAAAGACTGTCTGCTATAAAACTTGCGCGCATTTATTTCAATACAGGTGTGTAAGCACTGGTATTCAAATTAAAGCTGCTAATTAAATGATTTTAATTAAATTGGAAGATGGCATCAAATAAACTCATGGCATAAACTTCAATGGAAACATGAATAGGAGGTGTAGTGTTTGTGTAAGCCATTCATGATAAATGCCTGGTTGCACGCACCCTGCACCTTCGAATGACCTTTTGCTGCATTGCTTTCGCGTTTGTTTGAACCGCTCGAGATGTACGCACTGGCGATCATATATCAAAGTTGTTAATTACATCTTCCGGTCCTAATGAAATTAGAATATGAAATCGAATTCACTGCAAATACCATGAGATAGACGCCCGAGAGGTGTAACAATATTTGAGTTAGCCTTGACTGCTTCTACTGATAACCAGTTTGTTTTTCACAGGTGTCACACACCTTACATTAGTGTCCAATAATCATAATAAATACACACACAAATACACTGAGCGACGTCAGCTGGCCATTCTGTTTGCCCGACAAATTAGTTGTAGCTCAATAATTGAGCCGTAATGTGACTTGGCAGCTGCCAGCCCACTTCTCGGGGCCGATACCTTTGTCCAATTTATTCAAATATAAAATACTCAAATAAGA